TGTGTGTGTGTGTGTGTGTGTGTGTGTGTGTGTGTGTGTGTGTGTGTGTGTGCATGTGTTTTGTGTGTCTGGAATCAGTTGTGCTTTTCTTTCCCACCTCCAGGCTACAGGCTTCTTTGGCGCATGCAAGATGGACTTTTAGACTCATTCATTTATTTCCACCGTAGCTCTTGAATAATTTCTTTGCTGGGAGAAAGGAAAAGAAATGGTATTTCCTGAGCCCTAATTCTGCACCAGGCAGGTGGCTGCTGTTTGTCCTGGCCAAGCCTACAGTAGCACCACGGTTGGTGTCTTTTGCCCCATGTTGCAGACAAACAGAGTGGTCTCTGGAGGCCCACAGTCTCCTGGCCAAAGAGCAGCGAAGCGCTGTTGCCTGGGTCTGCTCGGATACTGTGTCCATCCACCTCCCGCACCCTGGGTGAGAACATGGTTCCTAGCTGGGCTGTGCCTGCCTAGGCCCTGCAACCTCCTGCAGCTCTGGCCTAGCCCTCCTGTTCAATCTCAGGATCAAAGAAGAAAACAGTTTTTTAGCACCCAGGACAGTAGTTCTTTAAAAAGAACAGTCTTTTTCTTCTGGACTGGGCATGTAGCTCAGTGATAGAATGCTACTCGGTATGCACAAAATCCTGGATTCGATCCATAGCCCTTGGGGAAATAAGACCTTCCTAACTTTTCCAAGCTGAGTCTTACCCAGAGCCCTGATAAAATCTGCGAGAAGTCTCTGTGTGTGTGCATGTGGTGGTGCTGGTGGGACCCAGAGCCCTAACCCCAGGCTCCCTTCCTGTCCCCTGATGCTGTCTCAGAGTCTTTTCTAGATCCATAGAAGTCACAGCACACAGGTTTCTTCTTCTTCTTCTTCCTCCCCCCTCCACCCCCGAGACAGAGTTTTCCTGTGTAGCCCTGACTGCCTTAGAACTGGCTCCATAGACCAGGCTGGCCTCAAACTTAGAGATCTACCTGCCTCTGCCTCCAGAATTCTGGGATTAAAGATGTGCGCCACCATGCGCGGCTAACACACAAGTTTCAATGCTGTTTAAGACAGGAGACTTCCAGGGATCTAGCTCACAGGGGCATTGCCTGAATCTCCTCTGCTGCCCACTCCTCCCCTGGTCCAGCACTCTAGGGGGTGAGGGTGGGGAAGGAGCCTGGTGTTTGCCCTAGCAGCCTTATAAAGGAATTTATGCCCTATAGCAAGCTTGTGGTCTCTCCTCCCCTTCCTCCCTTCCTGGGACTGACTTGTTGCTTTGGACTTCTGTTCTGTGTGGAGGGAGGGGCCAGCCCTGGGAGGACCTCAGGCCTGTGCGGCGGTGGCAGGGATCAACCATGCCACCAGGTGACAACTGCTGACACCCTGGTCTCACTGCCTAGCTTCCTGGGCACGAAGCCCATGTTTTGGGTACCCCAGGCCCTTAGCAAGGCTGTGTGTGCGGTTGCTGGCACGAAGAGGCCTACCAATCACATCCACTCCTCTTTCTGGGTCTCTGGAAGCTCTCTCGGTCCAGAATGGAAATGGTTTGCAAGAGCAGAGAGAAGGCGAATGAATGGCAAGGGACCAGCTGTGCCTTGGTCTGGCCTGAATTCCTGTGTGCCCTCCTGGTGGTGTGTAACTTTCCAAGCTGGCATCTGGCTTTAATCCAAACTGCACCCTGTTCCCATTCCGGTATTTCAATCAGGACATTAAAGAAATGTAACCATAAAAGTATGTGCCCTGTGTGATTCCGATGTTCTCTTTTGATATAACTTCATATCAGTTGCCTCAGATGATACTGACACCCAGAGATCTATCTGGCGAAAGCATCTCGGTGGGCGGGTCCAACAGAGTGCGTGCAAGAGTGGGGGCAGGAACGGGGCATGGCTCCCTGAGCGCTCTGCCGAAGGATCCTGGGAGCTGGGTGTGGGGAACTCACGAGACACCATCACTGCCAACTCTGTGGGTGTGGTTCAATCTGGACCCAGAGATAAGGGTAAGACCTGAGGCACCAGAAAGGGAGATGAGGCCGGTGGAGACCGGCCAGATCCATCCCAGTAGGTGGGGAGAACGGGATAAAAGGCAACAAAGTCAGGTGTCTCCAGAGCTGGAGGAGAGAAGGGGGCGCAGGAGTCAGGAGAGCTGGGACCTGGATGGATCAAGGGTAACTGAGGAGAGGCAGGACACCAGCTTGTTGGGAATCGGGATGAGATGGCAAAAGGAACGGGCAGAGGCAACAGGGTCACCAGTGGGGCATGGCGATACCCAGATGGGCTTCTCGGTGGGCCCTGGGCTGTAATGACAGCCAGGACGGGCTCTGGGGAGTCAGACAAGAGGAGCCGTGAGAAAGCTGTGGGTTCCTGGATGTCTGGGGAGCCTGGATGATGGGTGGTCTCAGGCAGCGGAGAGATGCATCCATTACCTGCATGATGCGGACGTAGTCGGTACGATGCAGCTCACCCTCCTTGACCACTTTCTTCTTGAGGGTGGCGAGGTTTCTCTCCAGGTGCTCCCGCTGGCGGGCATACTCCTGCTGCAAGTCTGTGTTCAAGCCTGCAATTTCCACCTGGTGGACGGGGGAGACTCAGCAAAGGAGGGAAGATGTGAAGGACCGTGCAGGGCAGCGCGGGTGGGGAAGGGCGGGGCACTCAGAGCTCACCATGTCTGCCCGCTGCACGTACTTCTCAAAGAGACAGCGGATCTTCTCCTTCAGCAGCCGGGGCTCCTGGATGTACGCCACGCAGTTGTGAAGGTCTGTCTTAAACCGCCGGACCAGTGCTTCCAGGTCCCTCTCCTGTAATCAGATATTTACTCCTGGGACTGCAGGGTACACTCCGCGTGGAGGGGCAGGGGCTTCAGGAAGAGGCTGATGACGCAGACGGGGACCCGAGTATCCTCATCCCGGATTGACACCTGACTGTTGGGGACCACCCTGGGCACAGAAACCCAGATGGGTGGTCAGCCCAGAGGGAGCAGTTCTGGAATTCTTGTGCACTTGCCTAGGCTGGGTACCCTGCCTGAATGGCTGCCAAGAAGACAGGGCTGAGACCACACACACAGGGCATCCCTATTGCTCTGGATTCCACTAACGGCCTCAGGCTTACAAGATGAAAGGAAGCTCATGTGGCCACACTTTCCTTTAGAGACAAGAAAGATGTATCACTCCCTCCTACAGATCCTTAGCCAGGGCCACCCCATGTCCCTTAGGACCCCACCCAGCACTTGATAGTGGGGAGCACTGCTGTGAATGGATGAGAAGCCCCTACAGACTGCTATACACTGGACCAGGTGCCCATCTTTAGCCATGCTTTCCTTGACAACCACCTTCTCTGCCCTTACCCAAGGGGGTGTCTCCCTTCTCTCCATTCCCATAGACCTTTATCCACTTTACACATATATATGAATGTATATAGTCACATATACGCATAGATATGCAACTTCTCTGTATATAACTTTCTATCTATATATTTTATGCACAGGCTACAATTCACTTCTCAGCCCTCTTGGCTAGCCGAGAGCAGGGCCACGCCCTCTTCCCATGTGCAGCCCTGCAGCTTTTGTGCACTGCCAGGGTTGCCGTGGAGGAGGATGGGAAAGCTCAGTCTGGTTTGGAAAAAGCTTCAGGTGGCCTATGGGAAAGAGTACACAGTTGTAGCCTAGCCGGGGGCCGGAGGACCGGGGTTCCCCAGGCTGGCTCTGAGCGGACAACTGGCTATGAGTACGGGGTGAAGTTTCTTTCCCTCCTCATTTCTCAGCCCGTACTGTGCTTATTTACAACATAAGAAGACTGGAATGGGCCAGATGTGTAGCAGGCACCTTTAGTCACAGGTTAAGTGTTTCTGAGGCCAGCCTGGGCTATACCATCAGTTTCAGGCCAGCCTGGGCTACAGAGTGAGACACTGTCTCAAGACACGCAGGGACTGGAGAGAAGGCTCCATGAGGAAGAATGCTTCTTGTGTAAACATGAAGACCTGGGTTTAGACCCAGCATCCCACGAGCCTAAGACCCCAGCACTGTGAAGTGGAGACAGGAGGATTGCTAAGGTCCCTGGTCAGCTAAAGAAAATGACAAGCTCCAGGTTGAGTGACAGATTCAGTCTCAACGAGATGAGGTGGAGAGTGAGAGAGCAGGGCACCTGGCTCCCTCCTCTGACCTCTGTGCATGGGCATTGGTGTGTGTGGGCATGCACACGCATGTGCGCGCACGTACACACACACACACACACACACACACACACACACACACAGAGCAAGTAAACATGACTGGAATGGATGCTCTCTAAGGTTCTCCTAACATCAACAGTTTTGGGGTGGTCAAAGCATCCAACCACTCCATTAAGTTCAAATGACTTTTTAAAATCGTGTTCTTCCCCAGGTCCAACACACCCAAGGCTAAGCGTGTTCCTATAAAACAGAGGTTCTCAATCTTCCGAATGCTGCCACCCTTTAATACAGTTCCTCAGGTTGTGGTGACCCCCCAGTCATAAGATTATCTTCATCACTCCTTCATAACTGTAATTTTGCTACTGTTATGAATTGTAACACAAGTGTCTGAATCGTGACCCCTGTGAAAGGGCGTCACGCCCCACAGGCTGAGAGCCACTGCTGTAAGACCAGCATTGTCACCCTCCCATCCCTACACGCAAGCTGTTTTACAGTCGCAGCTGAATTTGGACACACAAATCTGTTAGGGCCTGGAAGCAGACAGGTCCGTGGGCAAGCGCGCGAGTTAAAACGGGATGTGTCTCTTAGCAATGGCTGGCTCTGTCTCGAGGAGGCAGCTGCCCGTTTTCAGGCAGGTGCCAGACTCTGAAATCCTCGCACCTTCTGCTGCTCTTTGCGCATCTCCTGATCCGTGGCTCTCAGTTTCTGAAACAGCTCCGTGATGTTCAGCTCCAGTTGCGTGTTCTGCTTATGGAAACGCTCCAGCTCGGCTTCCATCTATAGCGAACCAGGGGATGGAGGCAAGAACCAGGAAGTCAGGGATGGAAACCGCGTTTGAGAGCAGTCATCTCTCACTGGGAGTTCCCAACACAGTATTTCTTCTCTAGTTCCCAACCCTGTCCTCTTGAATGAAATCACTTTCCCTACTGCCTGCCATCCTAAAAGCACCTCTCTTGACTGATGTCACGTCCACCGGGGTCCTCGGTGTCTGTGGCCAGGCTGTGAAGTTTTCCTCCTAAGTTGCCTCCCTTTTCCCTAAGCTCGCAGATTCCACTTTTCTTAAATTCTTTCTAAGTCAGTCAGTCTAAATTCTGGTTTCTTAACTCCTGCTCAAGGCAGATCCCTCCAGAGAAATACGTCCTTCACCTGATTTGGAAGGTAACATGAATGGAGCTCAACCCTCAGGGAAACGGAAAGGTGGGGCTTGTTTCTAAAACAGAGACCAGAGGGACCAGAGTGGCATATAGGCATCTTTCAATCTAGGGCATAAAATAGGAGAGAGCTGAGAAGACACCCAGTCTGATCATTAAAGGGTCAAAAAAGTACAACCTAGGGCCGGCCCCTCTTCAAAAAGATGGCGGGAGACCCCAGCGAGCATCTGACAGTTTGCTCTCCCTGGTTGGATCTGTCATACCCAGGGCACAGCTGGTTCAGATGAGAGTGTCTGTGGAGAAAGCCAGTCCCACTCAAAGCAAAGGGTGAGGTTTGATGGCCACCCCAATCTGACGGCACTAGTACTCATGGTAGGACTATGGAGGCTCACTGGCTGTTTTTAGGGGATGGGATGTTTGTTGTTTTGTGTGTAGGGTGGAGGTAGGTGGGATGGCCCCCCAAATCTATCCCAGGTTCTATCATCACATTTTAAAGTCTGGGAAACTTGTAAGAAGCTACCTCCATGTTCTTGGACACTTAGGAATGTCCTTAGCATAGGAGGCATTTTTATTAGAATAGCCCTCGGAGGCAATGCCTGGCATCCGGTGGACTCTGTGAACATCTGATGAAGGAGGGAAGGGCAGGTACCTGTGCTGGGCAAAGAGAGTAAGAGTGAGGTGGCGGAGGCAGGGGTGGGGTGGGGTGGGGTGGGGGTGGCGGTAGGAACTACCCACCTCTGGAAGAGGCATGGGAGGCTGCAGAGAGCCTCCTTGCAGAGGACACACAAGGATGGGGCTTTGCACAGCTAAAGCAAGAATGAGCAGCACTGTCAGCAGGCTGGGAAGGTGGTTCAGTGGTTAAGAGCACTGGCTGCTCTGGCAGAGGACCTGGGTTCGGTTCCCAGCACCCACACGGTGGCCCACAGCTGTCTGTAACTCCAGTTCTAGGGGACCTGACACTTCTTTCTGGCCTCTGTGGAAGCCAGGCACACATGTGGTGCACATGTATACATTCAGGGCAAAAAACTCTCACACATAACATACACAATTCAATAAATCTTCTTTAGAAAGCAACGAGCGCTGTGGGAGGCTACAAGTACAGAACTGGCGTGGAGGTAGTTTCTGGGTCCCAGAAGTCTCAGTCTACAGGGATGAGAGAACTGAGTCAGAGGTGGCTATGTAATGGATCAAATGTTATCTGTGACTGAGGCAGAAGATGCCCTAGGCAGAAAGTGCCTGTGTACACCAGGCCCTTGAGCATGTACCTACCCTGGGAAGGGGCACTTCAGCTGAATGTTATAGAGCAGTGTTTCTCAACTTGTGGGTCTCGAACCCCAAGGGGGTGCAAAACAAAAATCCACACATATCAGATAGGCAATATACAGATATTTACATTATGATTCGTAACAGTAGCAAAATTACAGTCATGAAGCAGCAATGAAATAATTTTACGGTTGGGTCGCTACGACCTGAGGAACTGTATTAAAGAGTGGCGGCGGCATTAGGAAGGTCAAGAACCCCAGGTGTAGAGAGAGGATTGGAGGACAAAGTAGGAAAGAGACTAAGCAGGCAGCCAGCAGCCTGCCTACAGAGGAGCGGTGTGTGTGTAGGGGGTGGGGTAGCCTGGTGCATTTCTGCAGGCTGGCGGCGCTGGTCCAGATGACTGCAAGGTGGCACAGCACTGGGGAGGCTGAGGGGTCCACCACACTGGGGTCACTGAAGAACCTCACCAGGATCAGCGCGAGCAACCGGTGGTGGTGGGGGGTTGGGGTGGGGTGGGGGCCCAGCACAGAGGTTGGTTCTATCAGAAGAGAGAAAACTAAGCCCAGGAGACTAGCTAGGCAGCTGTACGGGGCTCCAGGGAAGGACGACAATGTCCTAAGACAGCGACATGGCAGTTGGAAGAGAGAAAAGGGGCCCCCAATATTCAGGGCCCCCGAAGGTCACGTCTGAGTGGCACAGCCCACCGTACCTCTTATCACCCCTAAGCCAGCAGTGACAGACTGGCTTAGGGTGGAGGCGGCTTGGGACGGCATTCTTTGCCCTTCCTTTTCCTCCCCAGGCAGAGCCTCACGTGACTTCAAGGCTATAAATATGAACTGTCAAATATGTAAAGTGTGAGTGTCCAGCTGGAAAACCAGGAGACGAGCCCAGGGTGTGGGAACAAACTTCCCTTTCCCAGCACGGACGTTCCATCCACTTTTCCATGTTATTGGTTGTGACAATTCTCAGTGGGGAGGGGTGGGAGAATGGAGAAGTATTTTGTCCCCCAGGGGACATCTGGCAGTGTCTGAGATGTTTTGGATCATAACCCCCCCCCCCCCGTGTGTGTGTGTGTGTGTGTGTGTGTGTGTGTGTGTGTGTGTGTGCGCGCGCGCTTCTGGCACACAGAGAGAGCAGAGATAAGACAGATAAAGCCCTCTACAGCCCCTTGCGGTGGAGAAACGGCACCCCGGAACACAGGTAGTTCTGAGAAACCCCACACTAGAAGAACAAATCAATGAGTTGAAACTAAAACCACAAGAACCCTGGAAGAGATTCTTTTTCTCCACAGAGAGAAGCTGGGGACGTGTATATGAAGAGGGTAGCTCCGTCAAGGTTGGTTACTGCTCATTCCCAGAGATCTCTGTATACAAGCCTAGGGCCTGAACCTTCCTTCCTGAAGGAGAAGTGAACCAGATCTGCAGTGGGTATTTCTGAATGTGTCACTAATCCCTGAAGGAAAGGCCCACGGTTAGAGGTTCCCGCAAAGAGCCAGGTTCAGATTTCATCCCTGAGCTATCGGCATAAGGAGTGGGCATAGGGTGTGTGCTAGGAGGGTCCCTGCCCGATTCATTTCCCAAACAAGCATGGTCTCCGCTTAGAATCGAGGTCAAGCTCAGCCCCCATCACTGCCAGGGACAGTGAATGATCCCACGGGGGTGTTGATAGGGAGATTGTAGGACAGAGCCCTCGCGGATGCCCTGATGAAAGAGGTCTGAAGGAGCCAGCCATCCTCCCTCTGGCCTTCCACAGTGCGGACACACAGAAGTCACTGTCTGTGAGACACAGACCCTCCCCCACACAACCTGCGGATGGCCTGATCCTGGACTTTCAGCCTCCAGGGCAGTGAGAAAAATTTCTGTTGTTTGCAAGTTCCCCAGGCTGAGATATTTTACTACTGAGAGGACAAAGACAGTTGCCATTCCTTGGCCCTGAAGTCACCAGCGTATGGCAGGAGGGTCCCAAGAAGGCAGCTCTGTGGTCACCTGTGGGTGGAGAGCACCTGCAGACAGCATGGGGAAAGCCAATACCATCCCCTCTAGACCCCCATTTCTGGGCCTCTGCTTGGTGTCTTTGCTGGGCACACCATGTCACCATGGCCTATAGACACCTAGACAGGTAAAGATGCTCACTCCTCCAGTGCCAACATCTAGAGAAAGTGGAAGGAGAGTGGGACCCTTCTTTGCCAGGGAAGGCGTCTTTGAAGAGGCGACAGCCGAGCTGAGACAGGAAGAAGCTGGTCACAGGATGATCCAGGGGACAGTCTTCCAGGCAGAGGGGACCCTACCACTGAGATCCTAAAATAGGAGAGCTTGGCTTTTAGGTGCTGACAGGAGGAAGCTGGTACTGGAGCAGGGCGGGGAAGCCTGAGATGCGGCTAGAGAGAGGTGCAGAGCCTTTGGATTGTCTTCTGGTGGGATGGGACACCATTGAGGACTTCACTCTGTGTGGAGGCCAGGCTGTAGCCCGAGCCATGTCCAGATAAGAAATGGTGGAGGGGGCTGGTGAGACGCCTCAGCAGGCAAAGGCTCATGCTACGTCTGGGGACTTGGGTTCCAGCCCTGAAACCCACAGGGTGGATGGAGAAAACTGACTCTCGCAAGCTGTCTTCTGGCCGCTACATGAGGTGCAGTGGCAAGCGTGCCCCAGCACTTAAGTAAAATGAAAACAAAGTTGTATTTCTTTTTTTCTTCTTCCCTTTTAAAGCAATGGTGGAGGCGTGGACCAGGGTGATCGCTGCAGGGGAGAAGTATTGGCTTTGAAGTCTTATTGGATGCGTGTTGGTGATGCTTTTGGACATGGGGGTTGAGAGGAAGAGTCAGCAAAGACTTTTTTACATTTCCATTTGACTGAGAAACAAACTGGACAGAAGGGGAGAGAGAAGAAATCAAGAGTAATTTTGGCGGAAGATATCAACAATTCAAGTTTAGGTCATCATGGCCTCCAAATCCTAGCTGGTTTGTATCCAGCAGGAATCTGGTGGGTAAAGAGAATGTCACGAGAAAATGTGCAAGAGACCAGGGCTATAAAAGGCACACATCTGGGCCACTGGACTCTAGAAATCCGTGTCCAGCCAGCCTGACTTCCAATGGCTCTCCTCTCCACCGTTATACTGTTTGTTCCCCAGAACAGATTCAAGAGCCTCTGTCAGAAGTCCAAACACCAGGCCCTGGCCTAGGGCCCCAGCAATATCCCAGGTTTGAGAAGCAGTGCATGGAGCTATGGTAGCAAGAGTAGCTTTTGGCTGAGTACACACCGCCCCCTAGTGGACAAATGTTCCGCATCTCCCATTTGTCCCTACAGTGAGACTACGCCCCACCCTGTGCCCCGACGACAACAGCCCAAGGAACCCAAGCTACATTCCCATCTAACTTGCTTTGGGAAGCTGGAAGTGAGCAATAGGGTTGGAGGGGACAGAGGTCTGAAGGGTGGGGTGTGTGAGCGCCGGCCCTCACCTCCTGGATCTGCTCCTTCATCACTTTGATCTCATTCTCCCGAGGCTCTATCTGCTTCTTCAGCTCCTTTATTTTGTAGTCGAGGACAAACTTGAACTTCTCCAGCTCTTGGTTCTTCTTCTTCAGATCATAAATTCGTTTCTCCTGGAAGTGAGAGGAGAGAGAAGGAGAAGTGAGTAACGGCACAAGACGCTGTCCCATGGAACCCCTCTAGGGTAGGAAACACAGAGCCTGTGCAGGAGGCACAGAGTTCTGGCCGGGGGTACAAAGGTCGGTACAGGCTGTAGCACCGACTGGACTCCACAGAACTCACTCACTCACTCACTCACTCACTCACTCACTCACTCACTCACTCACTCACTCACTCTTGTGTAGGTTGTGGAGGATGGCGTCTAAGTTCTTCTGCACTGTGGCCTTGGTGTGACTCTGCAGCAAGCAGAGTTAGTTCCCCTCTCTTGTCTCTCGTAGGATTTATGACTTGCTTTGGTAACCCAAAGAATGCAACGGAAGGAATGTTGTGTGGCTGCCAGGGCTAGGTCAAACAGACAGACAGCTCCCCGCCTGGCTCCCCTGGGACACTTGCTGTGGTGGAGGCTAGTTGCTATGTTTAAACACCCTGAGCCCTCTGGACAGAGAAAGCACATTCAGGGATCTGGGGCTGAAAGACTCAGATGAGCCCAGGCCCCCCCCCCCCCATCCCTGCCACAGGGGATGGAGCGGGGCGTGTGGAAGAAGCAGCCGCTGTGGGCATGCATCTTCCTGCCTCTGGCTGTTGGAGGCACCCCAGTTTTCCCAGCTGAGTCTCCAGACACTGGAGTCAGAGACCAGCCATCCTGTTGAACCTTGTCCAATTCCTGCCCCTGAGAGGACAGCATCACAGCTGTTTGTTCGGATCACTGGGTTTTCAGGTTGTCACCGGAGTGCGGGTCTATCAAGCAAACCTGGACAGGATGACATTTTCCTGTTACAGCTCTGAGAATGATCCACCCCCCATCCTTAAGGCAACAAAACAACCCCCCAAATAATAATAATAATAATAATAATAATAATAATAATAATAATAATAATAAAAAATAAAAAACCACTGACTGGTGGGGCAGATAAACAAACACAACCCCAAAATGCGATGTGTGGCGGAAGGGAGAGGGACATGGGCATCGTGGTGTTTGTGCTGCTGGAGGGGGAGGGGAGAAAGGCAAGGCTTTTGCCTGCCGGCTTCAAGAGTTCAGAAGTCATCTCGGAGGCTAGGAATTGCTAAGTTCAGCCTAGGAGCCAAACTTGACCGCTGCCTGGTTTTGGCCATTTCAATTGGAACATGGCCTAGTACATTGGGGTCTGTTTTGTATCTGGGTGGTCTCACATGTGGTACCCAGAGCTGATTAGTTGAGACAGAGACCATACGGCCTGGAAAGCCTGAAGTATCTACCATCTAATGCTTTGTAGACCTCTGCTGTGGACCCGGGGAAGCTCCTGAAGGTTTTTCAGTGGGAGAAGGTCCTAACCACACCTGCACCCTGTCAGTTGGGCTGCTGCGGCCCTGGGGTGGGAACTGGGGAGGCTGCTGGACTAAGAGGGGTTATGAGTTTCTGCATTCAGAGCACTTGGTTTCTCCATCCCTTGAGAATCTGAAGAGGGCTCTGTCCCTTCTCCAGAGCCCACACCTTATACAAGACTTCCTGTGCAGAAACAGTATGCAGGCACTATCTCACCCAATCTTTACAAGTTCCCATGCCTCAGGAGAGAACAGGATGGCTTTAAGAAGTTGCCTCAGGCACAGTACCTTGTCAACAGAGGGGCCTGTGCCGGAACCTACTTATCTACCACTGAAACCCAAGTTGGGTCACAGGAGAATTCTGTCGGGTGAGGCAAAAGATACAGAGTGGATAGAGAGGTGTGCAGGGGATCTGGGTTTGCTCAGGAGGATAGCAAATCCTGGGTGTTGAGGTGGTGTGCCCATAGAAAATATATGTGCCTGTTAGCTGAATATTCTGCACAAAAGGCATTTCCATCTTCCTGGGTTACCCAATAGTTATAGGACCAACACTATGGGAGTCTCCTTCTGATCAACAATAGCAATACACTATGGGCAGTGTGGCAGGTGAATTACCCTCAGCCCATAAAGTGGGCCATCCTAGGATGCCTGGATCAGTGGAGAGCAGGGATCTGGAAACCAGGTGGCTCAGGTTCTTACCTGAGGTCTGTCCCCTACAAACCGTGAGACCCTGGGCAGTAAACTCAGCCTCTTGGCACTTGGCTTCACGAGACACAACCCTGGGTTGCTCTTGCCATGAGGTTGTTGGTAGAACTGAGTGTGATGTGCTGGCACAGATTAGCTCCATGCCAAACACACAGCGGGCACTTCACAGACCGTTCTTCCTCCACCAAATCAGGTAAATGATCTCTGAGAAGCCAGGACCCTTCCAGCCCTGTCTAGGTCTCTCTGGGCAGTGTCTGGGGAGGGCGGAGCGCAGCCCTTACCTTGTCTTGAATGGTCTCATCCCTCTCCTGGATCTCTCTCTTGAGGCCCTGGATGTCCTTCTCCAGGGACTTGATGACACCCTGCAGCTTCATCTGCTCCGCCTTCAGGATCTCGATGTCATTGGTGCGCTCTTCGATTTCCTTTTGCAGGCTGCTGAACTGAAGATGTGGACAGTAGCAGTGGAGATCCTGGGGGGCTTCGAGTTGATTCCCATCCCCCACCTCAACTGTGGATGGGGCCGGCCCTCCTCCAGGGAGCTAAGAACCCTCACCACTCAACATCCATGGGCTTTGGCGAGTGGATTTTGTTACTGCTGTTATTTTAATTTTTGGGGGGCCAGGGGAGGCAGCCTTTTTGTAAATGGAGAAATAGTTTTTGTCCATACTTGAACATTTCATCCCTGCACACAATGTACCGTGGTCGTCATATTCACCCTCATCTCTTCCTCCTAGCTCTGCCACATACTTTCCTTCTCACAACTTC